AATTTCGTGCACTGGGCCTCTAGTACATATATAAAAATGTGTGTACTGGTATGTATATTATCTCACATTTTTTTATGGGTGATACTTTCTTGGTAAATGTGTTCAATTTTTTAGCATCATTGTCAAGCACTTTAATAAAAATATTTTTTTCAGAATTATAAGTTAAACTTTTACTATTAAGAATAAAAATACCTGCCAAAACTGGTTTGGCTCAGTGGATAGAGTGTCAGTCTGCAGACTGAAAGGTCCCAGGTGCTATTCTGTTCAAGAGCTGTGGCACATCCCCGGTAGGGAGTGTGCAAGAGGCAGCTGGTCGATGTTTCTCTCTCATCGATGTTTCTAGTCTCTATCTCTCTCCCTTTCTCTATGTAAAAAAAATCAATAAAATATATTTTTAAAAATAAAAAAGAATAAAAATACCACAGAGATGTGGAGGTATGTAATTTCAAAGTGAATTATCACCCTTAACAGAAAATGATAGAGTTGCAAGGGTATTTTTTAAAGAAAAGGCAATGCTCTGTTGTAAGAGTGTTTACAGTTTTCATATTCACCACATATTGAAAAATCATTAAGCTCTGTACTTTTTTATTGCTTTCTAAAGAAACCCAAAATATATCCAAAGTGCACATTTACTCAAGTCATTTATCTGAATGAATTAGTATTTCCACCCTCAAGGTTCCTATAATATTAAACTTTTTCTCGTAATGTTATTTAAAATGTATCCTATGTTTTAAATATTTGTGGGAAAGAAAATATTTTAAAAGACATTTATATAAAACTAAAAGATAACATAGAAGAAAATCTAGATGACCTTGGGATTAGTGATGCCTTTTTAGATATAATACCAAGAAGAATGATCTGTGGATGAAATTATTTATAAGCTAGATTTTATTAAAATGATAATTTTTACTCTGTGTTAAACACTATCAATAAAATTAAAAAGCAAGCTACAGACTTGGAGAATATATTTGTAAAAGGCATATTTGACAAAATACTGTTATCTAAAATATACTAAAAACACTTAAAACTCAACAATAAGAATATAAACAACCAAATTTAAAAAATGGCCCAAAGACCTTAATAGACATCTCACCAAAGAAGATACATAGATGGCAAATAGGCATGTGGAAATTCACTCCACATTATATGTCATCAGTGAAATGCAAATTTAAAAATGTGATACCACTACACACCTATTAGAATAATTAAAATCTGACAACTCCAAATGATGGCAAGAATGTGGAGCAATAGCAACTTTCACACATCGCTGGTAGTGATTAATAATTGACAAACACTTAGGAAGACAGTTTGACAGGTTTTTTTGTTTTGTTTTGTTTTAGAAAATTAAACATACTTTTACTATACGATTCAAAGGACATGGAAACAAAAACAAAAAAAAAAGAAAAAGAAACAGTTGTAAATGAATAACACAATATCTGGAATGAAGACTACGCTAGAAAGAGTCAATAGCGTGTTAGAAGAAGCCAAGAATCAAATCAGCAATTCAGAGGACAAGGAAACATAAAACACCAAAACAGACCGACAACAACAAAAGAATGTTTAAAAAATGAAAGTCTAAGGGACCTCTGGGACACCATCAAGCATAGCAACATCCACATTTCAAGGGTACCAAAAGGAGAAGAGAGAGATCAAATGATTGAGAATCTGAACAAAGAAATAATGACTAAAAACTTTCCTAACCTAGTGAAGGAAATGCTCACAAGTCTAGGAAGCACAAAGTCCCAATCAAGATGAATCCAAAAAAGCCCACACTAAGAAACATCATAATTAAAATGCAAAAGGTTGCCGAAACCGGTTTGGCTCAGTGGTAGAGTGTCGGTCTGCAAACTGAAAGGTCCCAGGTTTGATTCCGGTCAAGGGCATGTACCTTGGTTGCGGGCACATCCCCAGTAGGGGGTGTGCAAGAGGCAGCTGGTTGATGTTTCTCTCTCATCGACGTTTCTAGCTCTCTGTCTCTCTCCCTTCCTCTCTGTAAAATATCAATAAAATATATTTTAAAAAAATAAAATAAAATGGGAAAGGTTAAAGATAAACAATCTTAAGAGAAAGTTACTTGCAAGGGAGCTCTCATGAGCCTGTCAGCTGATTTCCCAATAGAAACATTTCAGGCCAGAAGTAATTGACATGAAATATTCAAAGTGAAGAAAAGCAAGGAGCTACAACTAAGATTACCCAGAAAGGTTATCATTTAAAATTGAAGGTGAAATAAAGAACTTCTTAGACATCAAAAATGAAAAGATAATGTAGAAAAGAAATTGGTATTTATATATAGGCATTCATGCATTGGTAATAAAGAAGCAGCAATATGATTGACTTATGCTAGCCTAGTGTAATTGATATGTTTGCCTCAGAGTACTAAGGAAATCTCCAAACAATAATCTGATGAATTTATTGGAAAAAATCTGCATATAAGTAGACCCATGCAGTTCAAAACTGTGTTGTTCAAGGTCAACTGTATATACAAACACCTATGTATATATGTATGTATATGTGTGTTCATACATACACACACACACACACACACACACACACACACACACACACACACACATATATAAAAGCCCAGTGACCAAACAGCAGAATGACCAGAGCAACCAGTTGCTATAATGTGCAGTGCAGTGGCCAACTGGCCTGATCTGGACCCAATAGGCCATTCCCAACCACTTGTTGCCCCTCCCCCTGGACGGCCCCACCCACAACCAGGCCCCTCACCCCAATTAGGAGCAGGGCCCCTCCCCCCAACCAGCCAACCTCTTGGGGTCCCTCCTCCTGGGCCGGCCCCCAGATAGGCCTTGATCAACAACCAGTCTGAGAGACCCCACCTGTGCATGAATTCGTGTACCGGGCTTTTAATATATATAGATATACAGTATATATACATATATATATTAATATATACACTGAGTGGCCAGATTATTATGATGTCTGAATATATAATAATCTGGCCATTATTAATAAAAAGCTAATATGCAAATTGTTCCCTTGACCAGGAGTTCGACCAGCAGGCAGGCCGGCCAATCACCTATGTCACCTCCCCTAGACAGGCTGGCTGGACTCCACCCATGCATTAATTTATGCACTGGGCCCTATATATATATATATATATATATATATATATATATATATATATATATATAAAGAGGCCAGATTTTTTATTATGCATTCAGAGATCATAATAATCTGGCCACTCAGTGTGTGTGTGTGTGTGTGTGGGTGTGGGTGTGTGTGTGAGTGTGGGTGGGTATGTGTATAGATAAAGAGATTATATTATAAGAATTGACTCAGTGATTATACAGACTGAGAAGTCCCACAACATGCTGTCTATAAGCTGGAGACCCAAAAAAGCCAGTGGTATAGTTCAGTCTTGGTCTGAAAGTCTGGAAACTAGGGTAGCCAATGCTAAAATAACTACTCAGAGGCTGGCTTAGCTCAGCAGTTAGGCAGAGAAGAGGTGAGTTCTCTCTGACTTTTTTTCTGTTTAGTCCCTCAGTGGATTATATGATGCAAACAATTATTGGAAAAGGCAATATGCTTTACTGAGTCCACTGATTCAAATGCTAATATTTCATGGACACACCAAGAAGTAATGTTTAGCAAATATCCAGCATTCTGTGACCTAGTCCAATAGACACAAAATTACCCATCACATTCTATCCCCTGCTCTCTGAATTTGCTTCAGCCACACTGATTTTTTTTTCTTTCAAACAAATCAGCTTGCTGGAGCCTTAGACCTTACTGCAAGCTGCTCCCTCTTCCTGGAAGACTATGTGTATTGCTTAAACTTACCTTCTCAATGAGTCCTAATCAAATTACCCTACATAAAATTGCAATCCATTTCTTGCTCTCATGTCTCTTACCTTGCTGTATGTTTTACCATATATTTTATTACATTCTAACATTTCATTTAAATTAATTATTTATGATACTGCTTATACTCTGTTTCTCCATCCCTCAGAGTATAAGCTTCATCATGTCAGGAAGTTTAACTGCTTGGTGCCTTGGGAAATACCTGACAGTTATTGATGGCTCAATAACTATTTGATAAATGAAGGAATGACTCATCTACAAAAAAACCTTTTCAAGCACCATTTTGTGCCAAGCATTGTGCTCCGAGATCTGAATATGACAAATACATCACATATTTACTCTGCCTTCCAGAAACTAACAAGGAATCCTGAGCTACTCATAAATAAATGCAATACAAGATAGAAATACTAGTTTGGTATGAGAAATTTATAAACACTACTTAGAGATGGGAAAACTGATTGTAGCCAGAGAAATAGGGAAGATTTTGGAGATGGTGACACCTAAATTAGTACTTGAATTTTGGAAATGAGGAAAACACCATTCCTGGTAGAAGAAACCACATTTTAAAGAATCCCTAAAGAGCTAATGCATGGGGAGCAGACAGGGAAAAGCACAGAATACTGAAAGAGCTTAGGTTCTGAGCCAGTATGCCTGACTTCAAGTCCAAATTCTCCAGCCAAGCAGCTGTGTGACCTTAGACAAATTATTTACCTTCTCTGAGTTTCAATTTTTACATTGGTAAAAAGGGATAATGCCATTTAGCTTTAAAGTATTGCTGTGAGGAAATCATGAACAAAAATCACCTAGTCCAGTGACTGGCTTCCAGTGATCACTCAATATCTGAGAGCTATTCTTAGAGTAGAATTTGACTGGAGTGTAGATGAAGTGTGTCCCTCACCAATGCCATTTCCCAATAGGAAGCAAGGCCAAAATGTATTGCATTTACTCTACACGCTCGGAGAACATTCGTCTATTGTCCAACGTGAAAAATGAAGCTGAAAGTCTTGTATTAGAAGCATAACACCCTGAAAATGTGATGCATTGGCCTATCAGGCGTAAGATTGCTTTGGATCTAGAAGAAATGGAAAAATATGTGTGTTTTATTTCTGCTGAAGATTATTTGTACTTACCCACCGGTTTATTTGTGTGTGTGTGTGTGTTTCTTTTTTCAGTTGCTCCTACGATCCAGGAAATTAAATCCGGCACCGTGGCCCCCGGGCGCAGTGGATTGATACGATGCGAAGGTGCAGGTGTGCCGCCTCCGGCCTTTGAATGGTACAAAGGAGAAAAGAAGTAAGGACTTTGTGGTTGTTACTGTGTTCCAAGCACTTTGAGCTAATGTGTTTGTGTTTCGGATACTTACTTTAAGCGATTTCTTTAACTGGCTTGAACGATTCTCAGCAGCCTCTTCCCAGGCAAGCAAACTGAAGGGGAAGGTCCCACATGGGAAAGAAAAGTAGCTAATAGCATCCTGAAGAAATGTCCACTTTGCTTTATATGATCTCAGAAATGCCTGCAAATCCCTCATCGCTGATTGTTTTATTTGCGCTTCTCCCTTCTGAACCAGCACACCATTGCTCTTGCTGGCAACCACGTTTAATTGGGAAGCAAACCAGCACTTAAAGGACTTGGGCACAGACTCCATGAGAGCACTCCAAAAGCCATGGGAGCCTCTGTCTCTGCCCAGCTTCCTTGATAAGACTCAACCCGCTCACCTGCCTTGCTCTCCCTCAAGACATTCTAACACTTTTATAGCTCACTATGCTTTAGTTATTCCGTCACTAAAGGGGCTGTAGAGGAAATAAAGTACATGGTTAAAGGACTATCCAATGTGATTTTTAAGGCCCCTCTAACTTCAGCTCTGTATGATTGTCCACTTGAGAAACCTCAGAAGGCCTTGGCAAGAGCGTTTGAACAAGAGAAGTCAGGACTCCACTACTTTCTCTTTGTTTTCAACTAGTAAGCTCATTCAAACCTCTTTACCTGGTCTTAGCTATCAAAGAAGAGTGGGACCCCTGTGGATTAACCGGAAGATGGGATGCAGAGGAAAGGGTAGTATATATATCACTTTAAAATAAGGAGAGATGTATTCAAGAAAATGTTAGGTTCAACCATGACTGTAGTGTTACGAAAAAAAAAAAGGAAAAAAAAAAAAGCAGCTATTTTTGTATAAAATCTCTTCTACCATTTGGGATATTTACTTAATTCTTTTAACTAATTACTTAATTAATGGTTTTACTAATTTCAAGTCTACCTTTCTGTGGTTTTATAGAAACCCCCATGTTTTAATTTACTTAGAATAAAAAAAAATAATAATAAAATTAAAAAATAAAAAAACACCTCTCTGGGGTCACCCTTGTTGCATCCTATAAGATTATGTATCCTCTAATACAACCTTCTCAGATTGTGTTTGATTCTGGTTACCTCAGTTGAGATGTCTTCAATTTGTTTGTTTGTTTGTTTTTCTTCTTTAGCATATTTGTTTCTTCTCTTTTTTTAATCCTCACTGGAGGATATTTTTCCATTGATTTCTAGAGAGAGTTGGAAGGGAAAGAAGAGGAGGGAAGAGATAGAAATATCAGTGGGAGAGAGCCATATATATTGGTTGCCTCCCACAGGCACCCCCTACCAGGACTGAGTAACCTGCAACCTAGGTACGAGGCTTTGACCAGAAATCAAACCCTCGACCTTGGGCCTTCAGGTGGCTGCTCTAACTACCGAGAACCTGTCCAGGGTGAGATAACTTCAATTTGTGATTATCTTTATGGACAATCATCTAGAAAACTGGTCCTCAATCCTTTGAAAGTTATGAACTCCTTTATTCAAATGCAATCTTGTTTGGAAGCCCAAATAGTAATATCTATGAAAGTAATACTTCTTTGGTAGATATGGGGTGGGTGAATAGAACTTTAATTTTACCTGCTCAGAAACCTTCCTTTCATGGGACATCCTTGCAGTCTCCTCATACCCAGCCCCATTCCTGTATCTCCACACACACACACACACACACAAATAATAATTAATTAATTAAATTTTTTAAAAGTTTAAATAATGACAAACTTTGTTACATGCCTTTCAAAGTTCAAAGTCACTTTTGCTCTTGTGTCATTTCTTCCTTAAAACCAAACAAACAATTATTCCCAGTAGGCAAATGAGAGCTCAATTGTTAAAGTACACTTTGCTCCCAATATTTTATAAGGTGATGTCCTAATTTTTTTTTTCATTTGTTTTTGGGGTGTTTTTTGTTTTGTTTTCTTTTGTTTTTTTGTTCTCTCTCCCTCCCCCCCCCTCTCTCTCTTTCTTTCTTTTTCTCTCTCTCTTTTTCTCTCTCTCTCTCTCATATTCTTTCTCTCCCTTTCCTAAATACAGCACCTTTAAAAAAAATAGCTGTAATAATCCTTATATACTTTTTTTGGCCTATAACAATTATAGAAAATGCCAGTTGATGCTCATAGTCATAACTTCAGTGATTTTTTTCCTACTGAGATGGATTATAGCTTTTATTGTATTTTCAAAGAGTTTTAAAACCACTCGTATAAAAGATAGATTAATATTCTCCAATCAGTGTTGCTCCCCAACATACTTGTACACCTAGCGAAGGTCTAGGAGCTGTGAAATCAAATGCATCTGTTAACATGTCTTCATTTCAGATAAAAGTATACATTTATGTTTGTCAGAGTTAGAGTTGAGTAAATATTCAAATTCTCAAACATAAGAATATACAAATTACTCTCAATATTATAGTATAGCACACTTAAATATCTCCAGGAAATAGGAGAAAGAAATATGATTGTTGCTGAGCAGTTGTTGTTATACTCAACTATTGGATCTATATGGCAGTCTCAGAGCCCGGGCCATTCAAATATTTACCAAAATGAAAAACTATATAGCAGCTGCTATTTGACAAGTAGTGTTCCAAATTTTTAATAAATATTAACCAGCTTATTTTTATAATGAAACTTTAAGATAGATATCATTATTTTCTTCATCTTGTTTCAGAGAGAGAAAAGCACAGAGTGTTTTCAGAGTATGCAAGTTGATACAGTTAGTGACAGAGCTTGGATTTGGGATCCCAGGAAGCAGCTAATCAGTGATTTTCTCTTATCATTGATGTTTCTTTCCTCTCTGAAATCAATAAAAATATATATTTTTTAAAAAGATAAAAATGGAACTCTCATTTGATCCAGTGATCTACTTCTAGGACTATATCCCAAGAAATCAGAAACACCAATCAGAAATGCTATATGAATCCTATGTTCATAGCAGCACAATTTAATTTATAATAGCTAAGATTTGGAAACAACCTAAGTGCCCATCAGCCGATGAATGGATTAAAAACCTGTGGTACATCTACCCAATGTAATACTTCACTGCTATAAAAAAGAAGGAACTGCTGAAACCGTTTTGGCTCCGTAGATAGAGTGTCGGCCTGCAGACTGAGGGGTCCATGGGTTCGATTCCTGTCGGAGACATGTACCTTGGTTGTGGGCACATCCTCAGTGGGGGGGGTGCAGGAAGCATCAATGTTTCTAGCTCTCTGTCCCTCTCTCTTCCTCTCTGTAAAAAATCAATAAAATATATATATATTTTTTAAAAAAATAAAAGAAGGAACTTTTACCATTTGCAACAGCATGGATGGAACTAGAGAACATTATGCTAAGTGAAGTAAGCCAGTCAGAGAAAGATACATATTACATGATCTCACTCATATGTGGGATATAATTATCAACATAAACTAATGAACAAAAATAGATCCAGAGACAAATGGCAGGGGTGATGTGTGTGTGGGGGGGTAGGGGGGGGGTGTTAGAGAGCAACCAAAAGACTTGTATGCATGCATATCAGCATAACCAATGGACACAGAGACTGGGGTAGAGGGGGCTTGCCTGGGGTGGGAATGGCTAGGCGTTGGGGTTGGGGGGGTCCAATCGGGGGGAAAAAGAGACATTATAAACTTTAGACAAAAAAATTAAATTTAAAAAAGAGCTGTTCATTCATTTATGATTAAGACTATATACATAAATTTTAATGGACTAATGCTTTGCAAAAACACGGGATCTATATTACTTTGAGAAGATGTCATTACCCTTTGTCTTAATTAGAATTTTGCCATTTGCTTGCTTGTTTGAATTTCCTTCCTTCTTTTGGATATCCTCAAATCCTGGTTTGAGGCCTAGAAAGACAAGCCCACTGGTTTCTAATGACATTCAACTGCTCTAGGAATTTTTTTTAAAGTATATTATTCACTTTGCCTGCATTCAGGCATATGACCAATAGTAGCAATGATTTGGGGAATTCTTTAGTAACAATGGGGTCTCTTTCTTAATCCTCCATCCGAATTTAAGATAGGTATACAAAAGTTACAAATTAGTTAAATATTGACTAGCTCCATGAATGAAAAGCAAATATATAATAAAACATTAAAAATTATTTATAGATCAATTAGAAAACAAATATGTACCTAAAAAATGGAATATTTTGTATTTGGTAATGAGTATCTTATATTTTGACATTTTAAGCATTAACTTTAAATTTAATCTATGCATTTGAAGTCATTTTATAGCCAATATCATGTCAGCATATCTGTCATTTCAGAATCCTGTTAATTGTTTAGTCTATACCACTGTTATAGAGGAAATAGGATAAGCATTACCATTTTGCCTTGGATTAGTTATCTACATGCCTAAAACATGCATGTACAGATATTTAAAAATGTATGCAAGTATCATTGAATGGATAGGAAAATGCCCAAAATCAACCAGGTAGATAGAGTATGCCATGTTCCCTTTACACAGAGGTAATATGACTTTTTCAAGTCAGGTTAGGTTTTTACTTTAGAGAATGATGATTTTTCATTCTTGGTTCTACAGAGGTGAGATGAACTTGAGAAATCATAATGAAGTAAAGTGACCTTTCCTCTTCTTTTTCCTATTCTAGATATACATGACCTTGTCATCTAGACAGGCCATAAATTTTATCTGAGTAATATTCACTTGAATAAAGGAATATAAGTGAGGGGGTTTTCTTGCCTTCTTTTATTTTCAAGGAAAGAAGAAAATGAATTAAAATAGTTCTTTGTATCTTCAATTATCCCCTTTCTTTGCTGTTTTTCATATAATTGATTTATGTCAAAGGTAGGAATACATTATATTTGCATAATACATTGTAATATTCAAAGCATTTTTTATATATGGTAGTTTTTCAAAATGTGAACATTTTTACATTTCATTTACATAGAGTCAACTCTTCAAACTTGGAGTGTTGCATGAGAGAGATAGAAAAAAGAATGACAT